ATAGTTTGTCTCTTGGTGGAGTTTTCAGTGATTTGAAACCATACGTTTTTCGTCATAGTCATGCAACTTATCATGAGTTGGTTTAGAGAAGAATAGCTTCCACCTCATCCTTTGTAAAACACTCAATTTTGTCTAACAAGGTCAGTTTATATTGTCTGTTACGAGGGACTGTGATGTATTTTGTGGAGTAGTCCAGGTTAATTATCTCCATGTTCCAGTGATGAATAGGTATTAGGTATAAATTTTAAAATCCACCTATAATAATGCTCAACTACAATGAGCTAAATGTAGGTATCTGTATGATAAAACAGGTGTTATAAATACAGTGCTCAATGTTATAAGACAGAGTTTTATATATATATATATATATATATATATATAATGTTATACCAGAACATTACCCATTCTATTGTAATAGACTCTCCCACAGATAATAAGTAGTAGTAGTAGTAGTAGCCAGTTCAGCTCAGTGGAGTTGAGTGAGTCAGTCGATGTTGGACATTGAAGTATCAACCATCACAACTAGATTGCTGCGTCATTAACTCTTATTTCAAGTTCCTAATGTTTTGTACGTTGGACCCTTTTAGGACCGACTTAGAATAAATACAAGCCTCCACTGTGAAAACTACTCTACAATATATATATATATATATATATATATATATATATATATATATATATATATATATATATATATATATGTGTGTGTGTGTGTGTGTATATATATATGTGTGTAGTATGTATATGTGCATATATTTTTGGGCATATATATATTTGTGTGTGTATTTGTGTTGGGTCATTCTCATAGAATGCTATTGGTATCATGAAAGCCAGTACTACCTGTTGCATGGTCGGACAATCAGTGACTAAACCGGTTCTCCCACTTGGTGAGGAGGGTGGCTAGAAACCCTGCAGAACAAACACAACTTGTAAAAGGGTGGATGAACCTTTTTTTGAAAGGTCAACAGCCATCTAGCTATGTCTATGTGAGGCCATAGAAATATTTTGGCTCGTATCCAGACGTGTGGTTAGCCCACTGGAGGTGGAACTCCCAAGCCTTCTGGCAGTCTCCTAGGATATCTCTAATGTCTTTTTTAATTTTGACCAGTTTTTTTTTATTTTTTTATATAGCCATCATCTCTATATAATCCTACACTATCAGAATCTAGACATTCAAAGGCACTTAAATTGTATAAAAAGAAATAATACCACCAAGTTGGCGGCTTCTGCAGAATTCAAAGAACTCGTTGAAATGTCAAAATTATCACTGCAAGACTTTTTGGTCCACTGTTCTTCATTGTAGACCAGAACAGAATTTTGGCATTTCATGATTATATCCATTTCATTCTCAGAAATATTGGAGTATTCCCGAGCAAACTCCAAGGCCAAAGTGAACAGATCTTTAGATATGGAGGAATAATAGTCAATAATGTCGAACTGTATGAAAGTGCAATTGTCCTTATTTTGGATGCTAGTAAACCAGTTGATAATATCAGCTGTGTTAATCCACTGTAAGGGTCCAAGGGTTTTTTTTTATGAATTGGTTGGTTTTTTTCCAAGATGGTTTTACTGATTCTACCGCCAGTCTTGTAGGATTAATAAGCCTTGTTGATGACTTGGTTCTGAAATCAGGTTTATGGTTTTTTTTTAATAAAACACAAGCTTCCTTAGCTTGCAACTTACTAACACAATCACTAATCCGTAGTTTGTCAGTAATGGATTTACTAACACAGTTAATCCTATCAATCAGGTTAAAAATTATTAGTGTCAATTTTCTTGTAGCTTTTTGATTTTTTTTTTTTTTTCTTGTAGCTTTTTGATTTTTTTTTTTTGGTCAATTTTCTTGTAGCTTTTGGTCTTTTTGATACTAAGGTATCACAATCCTTAGGGGATAACTTATAAAAGTTAGCCGTTTTATCAGATTTGACATAAATATCACCAGATTTATTAATATCCTTGACAATATCATCAAGATTTGTTTTTAAAAGAGTTTTTATATTTATGGAAGGTTAATCTTTTAACGATTTCCAGTAGGCCATTTTCAAAACCAGACAATTCCTTAATTATTGGTGCTGTCTTTAAACTCTTAAAACATAATTTTTATGTATGTACAAATGTTCCTGGTCATGAAGGAAAAAAAAAGTATGCTTTCCATCTCGTTCTTCTGATAGTAGAGTTAAATGGATGGAATAATCCCGTTTGTTTGTGGTGGGAATGTTCTTTAAAGATAATCCAAAATTGATTCTATATATATATATATATATATATATATATATAAAAAAAAAACATCACCATCTTAAACAAGATAAAAAAAAAAAAAAGATCCTAACCCAATTAAACAACCAGGGATTGAACTCACAATTACTATGTCACCAAATTTACAAACCAATGCTTTAATCCGTAGGGCAATACTCAGTGGAGAACATGAAGCCTTAAACCTAATCTTACTGCTACTTCTCATGATGAACTGCATTCATTGAAGCTTTTGTTACACCTGCTGTAGCCTTACTGTCATTTGCTTTTCTTTATTAACCACTCCCATATTGTATTTATTTCTCAGCTAGTCCTACTAAGGAGATCCTCATAGCCTAGCATATGTGCCAATTCTTTCAGATATCTGACTCAAGAATTTAGACAGAAAATATGTAGATGTATTGAAATGTGGATAGAAGAAAATTATGAACTTAAATGACCAACTTCCTCCCGATCAGAGAATAAAAAGTGTCCCTCAAGAATGGGTTGATATTGTTTTCACTTCACTTTTTCAGTCAGATTCTAAAGATCAATACAGCAATATTTACAGCATTTCCCGTTTGTCTGTTGTTGGCAAAAAGCTTGTTTATATCCAGTTGATGGGGCTGAACAAATTCATTATTCCAAGGGCTGTGTCTGAATTACAATGTGGGTTTAATGCTTCCCATGAAGCAATAGATATGATCTTCACCATTTACAGGAGAAATGAATGAAAGAAATCAAAACATGCCCCATTGCTTTGTAGAGCCGAATAAAGCATTTGACACTGGATAAATCTGTTGTCCAACAATTTGCTCATGTCTATAAAGCAATAGTACAAGCTCAGGTTTTGTGTGATGCATTTCTTAGGTAATTAGTTATTCAAAGTGACCAATTTAGAATAAGACTAGCAGTAGAGCCCGGCATTGCCCAGGGATGTAACAGTAAGAGATAGATCAAGTATCGACCATCATAAAGACTGAAAAATAAAATTGACAAAGATTATTGTTTAAGGTTGACGGACATGCATGTCTTAATTAGTTTTTTTTTTGCTTGTTTTTTTTTATGAATTGGTCAAACCCAAACTCAAACAAAAACATTGTTTTCAATCGTTATGAGTCTCTACTGATTGAATAGAATTTTATTATAAACAATTGTCTTGTAAATGGAATTTTTAAAGCATTCTGAATGTAAAAATAAAAAAAAAAGTGTGCAAGACAATAAGAAAACTACCTGCCAAAAAAAAAAAAAAAGTGAAGTTTTGGTTGGAATCTGTTGAAAAATGTAGAAAATCTGAACAACCTGGGTTTTATAAGTATAACACGATATGAGTTGTCCCCCTTTCATTCTCGCGACAGTGATGCCTCTTAATCATGTTTTCAAATTGATTTAGGTGCAAAAACAATTGTTTTTCAATTTTTGCGCTATCAGAACCACCACAAGGTAATTTTCGTAGTCCTATGAAGTTTTGTTGAAATCAGTTGAAAAATGTAGAAATCCGATCCAATATATAAAACGTACAGACACACACACACACACACAACTTGGGTTTTATAATAAGTATGATTACAGGATGTCAGACGCATCAAGAATCAGACCACAACCACGCTCTGTACCAAGCACATCAAGAGCCAGAACACTACTACATCAAGAGTGAAAATGTTGTTACACACTGCACCAGGTGCATCAAGGGTTGGAATCCTACTATACAATGTATTAGGCACATCAAGAGTTCAAATTTTACTACAATGCCTTTGGGTGCATCAAGGGTAAGAAAGCTACTACACTCTGTGCCAAGTGCATCAAGGGTCAGAACAGTACTCTTTCCGATATATGAAGGGACAGACCACTATGTACAATTACTTTGCGCTATGTGTATTAAGGACCTGGAATTGAAAACGAATTATATATGCCATTTGAGTAAATTGAAATTTTAGCAAAACTGATCAAGCCTGGTCATCTTGAGCATTCAAACCTTTTTCTTTGTTTTTGTTTTTTAATAAAGCAAAAATTAAAAGAAAAGAAAACATAACTAAAACATTGATGAATTACCAATTTAGTTAAAATAAAATAAATAAATAAAAAAAAATTTTTTTTTTTAAAACAAAAAAAAATGAGCAATATGGGGGGGGGGGAGAATATAAAGTGAAATATAAAATTAATTAAAAAAGGAAACTGAAAGAACAGGAAAAAATAAATTTACAAAATAAAATTTACCCCACCCCACCAAGTTCAATCAGCCGGTGGAAATATTTAAAATCAAATGCATTTGATACCCAAAGAGATTTGGGTATGAAAATGGAATACAGCAAATCAAAGAATACTGAATGGAAATTGATTCAACACTGATTTTACACTGACGATTTTCATAATTTAACGAGGTATTTTTGAGATTCAACGAGGTGGGATGGTATTCTTCACGTAAAGGATTTGTCAATGTGCCGAAAGACACTTGTCTCTGACAAAGTCCGCTTAACAGGTTCAATTTTCCGTTTCTTTGCTGGTGGACAACTCTTGGACTCTGCCTTCTTCTTTTGTGGGCCAGTCGTCTGGATGAAAAAAAAAATTTTTTACAATTCTATCAATGTATTGATGTTATACATATAGTAACAGTCAAAATTATTAGACCACTAAACAATAGTGGGCATCATAAAATTATAACATGATAAATAAAAAGAAATAAACAAAAAGTAAATTTAACAAAAAAATTTTTAAATTATTAAAATAAAACCCAAATAATCAAAAAAATAATTTTAAAAAGTTTAGACAATAAAGGGAAAAAGAAAGGAAAAGAGAAGAGAAAGAGGAGAGAGAGAAAAGGAAAAAGAGAGAGAAGAGGGGGGAAAAAGGGGAAAAAAAGAGGGGGAAAAAAAAAGAGAGAGGGGGAAAAAAGAGAGAGGGGAAAAAAAAGAAAGGGGGAAAGGAAAAAGAGGAAAAAGGAAAAAAGGAAAGGAAAAAGAGGAAAGGGAAAAAAGGAAAGGAAAAAAGGAAAGGAAAAGGAAAGGAAAAAAGAGGAAAGGAAAAAAGAGGAAAGAAAAAAGAGGAAAGGGAAAAGGAAAAAAGGAAAGGAAAAAAGGGGAGAAAAAAGAAAAGAGGAAACAAGAAGAAAAAAAGAAAAAATATCCTTCAGTTTGAAGATATGAGATAAAGAATGAAAGAAATTGATATATCAATTATCAACATTTACACTTCTGGTGTATTTTCTCAATTTCAGATGAAGACAAACTTTCCAACATATTTCAATGAAATTTTCACTTTTCAAAATTATAGTTTATAATTAAAGTTTATAAATAAAAAAAAAAAAAAAAAAGGTGTTAGTTTAAACTGACACCAGGTGGTTATGGGTAAAACTGACAACTTTCTTTTTTTTTTTTTTCCATATATTGTGACCATTCAATTAAAGTTTGTATTTTCTTGATTTCAAATGAAAACTCGGAAATTTTTCAACATTCAATGAACATGAATAATTTATAACATAATTAAATGCTAAAATTAACATACTATAAAATTAAAATCGTGTTTATTATGCTGCACAACATTTTTTATTTAATAGAAATGTGCCATTTTATATTTAGAAAGGAGTTCATTAATAAAACAGTAGTTTGTAATCTTGTATTTATCAATTACATTAAAAAAATTTTAATTCTTTTTTCAATATTTTCAAACCTATTAATGTCAATTCATAAGTTCCTGGCATCAGTTTTAAAGTTGCAGATTGTTTCATAAAGTGATTGTCTTTATTTAATGTTTTTTTTTGGGGGGGGGCCCAAATGAAAACTTGTAAATTTTCAAAAATTATAGTTTTAGATATATAGAAAAAAGGTTTCAGTCCAAAAATCAAATAAAACAAATATATATAAAAATATCAGATTTTCTTTTACAAAAGAGGAAAAAAAAAAAAAAAAAAAAAGAAAAAAAAAAAAAAAATAATATATATATATATATATATATATATATACACACAAACAATATTCTACTTCATCTACCACGAAATATAAACCATTGATTTATGGCAAGTGCCATCAGGTATTTATTCAGTTTTTCAGAAAAGGCCTAAGTGATGGCAGGTGACCACTCATGATTCAGTTGCTGTCAACAGTTTCTTTATCATGAACGTATAGCAGATCGACAGCAAAAGTCCCACATATGGAGGCTATGTTTCACAAGATACATCAATGCTGGTTAATCATATAGAGGCTTAAAGACAAGCCTCCACCAATTGTTTCTACTCTTTAAAAAACTATCCCCCCCCACCCTGTTTACAAAGGGTTAGCACAAAAGAGGTACGATGACCTCTTACAAAGATCGCTGAGTGATAGAGACAAATACTAAAAAAAAAAAAATAAAAAATAAGATATCCCTAGACATGGAGTGTGGAATGGAAATAATCTCCCCTTCTAAACTGAATAAAGAGTTCAGTTATAGGAGTAGATAGGTTTGCCTATTGCATGGTTCACACTCCTCCCTGGTCTTTTGAACAGGAGTAGAATACCTGACGTTTCCCCGTTTAGGATTGGGTTTCCAGTTCTTTCTCCTAAAGTCTTCCCATTCTCTTTCACTCTCAGTAACCCCTTGCAACTTAGTGGCATTATCAGACAGCTGAAAAAGGCTGGAGGACATAACAATCAAAACATTTTGATAGTAACAACAAAGACGACGATTATTTACACTATTTACATTGTTCGGCCTGTTGTCATATTCACGTTTCAGCAGTTGTACACTGTCTTTCTTCTGGTGATATATGTTGGCATTTCAAACCAAACACTTTCATTTAGTCCATGGGGGTAAATTGTTCCGGATGTCTCAGCTTCAGTTAATTCCCTTTCAAGTTTTTTTGTTCAGGTATTGAACTCGCAACTCTGATTCGAGTTACAATGCTTTTATTCATTGAGCTTTGTGGATAACATCAGTGGGAACAGCAGTGAATTTTAACATATATCTCCTGAAGAAGGCCGGAGTGTACAATGGCTGAAACATTGCGAATATGACAAAGATCAGAACAACAGTCCAAATATAGTGTAAAAATGTTGAAAGATGAAGATATTAGTCAGACCGTAAATTATGTAAATAGTGGAACGAAATGCGCAATGGGATAAATTACTTAAAAAATAATAAGCTTCCTGTACTAAACAAGCAGTCACTGTGACCAAGTCAGTGAAGAAAATTGAGGGAAATAATTTAACAATGCAACAGGGGAATTTCTATGGATATTTTATTGTCGCAGAATTCACCATGAGCTTACTTAATCAAAGAATTAAGATTCATCAGCATATTAAAATTTTCACAGGTTAAAACAATGGTTCCCAAACGATTTGGTGCATAGGTACGACAGAAGAAGGTAGCAGCTAAGGCAGAATGATTGAAAGACAAACAAAGATTTAGAAACAGTTTCAAAAAAATTCATCTGTCGAAAATAAATATTTTCAAATTTAAACTATTATAATGGATTACTTGTAATTGCATGCATGAGTCCTAGTATAAATTGTTATAAATAATTATTGAGATTTTATCATTGATATTTTTGCATTATATCAAGTATTAAAAATATATTAATTAATGTCTGCAAATTGGAGGAGAGAGTTATCAATGATAATGTTCTGACTTCAAATCCAGTTATCTCCCTTTAAAACCCTCGTTTTTATTTTTAAATGTACTTTTTATCATATAAATTTGGGTGATGCACAAGCAAAATTTTCATTCTGAAATTCAGCCTCGAGAAAAACGGTTTTGGAACCACTGCGTTAAAACTGCTGTTATTGGCAATTTTATAAATTCATCTTAAAAAATGTCTGCTTCTTGAAGCATTGTAGTATGGGGGTGAAGTTGGATTTGGGAATTTTTTCAATAAGGTTTCTTTATTTATTTTTTTTAAAGAAAAAGAAATGTTATCTTTGTCCATCCTTCAAACATTACAAATTTCCAAAACGAGACTAGACAATTGATACAGAGGACAAACCATTTCCAGTAAGAATAATCATCTTACGTCCAAACCCAACTTGCTCATTTGCTTAAAATATATAAAGACGTGGAAAGTCTTGGCAGTCCATTGCTGAAAGGGGGCAACTCATATTTGTCTTCCTCTAATGTCACACTTATATAATGGACAAAATTCCTCATTTTGAGTAACATTTAATCTGGTAATTATATCATTTATTTAAAATGAAGGCGTTGTCCATTGTTGAAAGGGATGGGGGATAAACAAATTAAAAAAACAAAAAAAAAAAAATTAAAAAATAAGAATAACAATACAGAATATTAAATGGAAACCACACCTGCTCATCAAATATTTTGTCTTATTTGTTTCTTTAAAAAAAAAAAAAAAAAAATCAATAAACTCATTTTTAAATACGAACATTTACAAATGGGGACATGAATGACCGAATCTTATTTTTGTAAGAAAATAAATCACAAATGAAAATAAAAAAAAAAAAAAAAAAAAATAAAGTTTTTTTTTTTTTTTTAAACCTGATATGGGTCGGGATGGTAGAGAAAAAAAAAAGGATTCAATAGTTGGGGGAAGATAAAGAAACCATTTTTGCCATAAATGATTCTGGCATTGCATCTTACTGCCAATACCCTCTGGTCTTTCTTGTTATAAATCTTAAGAAATGGCGATGGGAATTGGGGCAGATGGGTCTTAGCAGCAGTACCCACGAGGAGGTCAAATCAAGTGGAATCTGGTCAACATGAAATATGAGGTAATCTGAGAAGCCGAGGAGAGGGAAAGAGAGGAGAGAAAAATTAGCAACTAGAGAAAGGGGGGTGAAGAGAGAGAGAGAGAGAAGCCATATTTAAACCTTAAGTAAAGCCATTTATATTGTCTACAGCATGTAAACATCTTCAGTTTACCATTATCACTTAGAATTGCTCCCCCAGGCACTGGCAATGCAAGGGAGATAACTAGGTGCAGCAAAAAGTTACAGATATAAAATATATAATGCTAACCACATAAAATCTTGTATTAATTATAAAAATTAAAAACAGTCAGTATTAATTATAGCTTTCTAAAAATAAAAAAGGGTATGTGTATTATCACCGTACAGTGATATTACGGATCTCATTATAGTCACCGCACTGTGATATTACGGATCTCATTATAGTCACCGCACTGTGATATTACGGATCTCATTATAGTCACCGTACTGTGATATTACGGATCTCATTATAGTCACCGTACTGTGATATTACGGATCTCATTATAGTCACCGTACTGTGATATTACGGATCTCATTATAGTCACCGTACTGTGATATTACGGATCTCATTATAGTCACTGTACTGTGAAATTACGGATCTCATTATAGTCACTGTACTGTGAAAAGAACAGTGATTTTATTATCACTGTTCAGTGATAATATGGGGGGGGGCGTATTTTCCCAAAGAATCTAAAATAATTTATGGTTACTTATCAATTACCACCATGGGAAATTAAAAAGTATTTAATAAAAATACAATTATTTCAAATTAAAAGCTATTTCATGAAAGTACAATTATTTCATATTAAAATTAAAAGCTATTTCATGAAAGTACAATTATTTCATATTAAAATTAAAAGCTATTTCATGAAAGTACAATTATTTCATATTAAAATTAAAAGCTATTTCGTAAAATGTTTGTGTATTATTACCGTACAGGGAACATCTACCTAAGTGTCACCAACCCCCATGTTGCCTTGACTGATAGAAAAGGGATAATCTGTAATTTATTCCACTGCAGTGGCAGAAGGACTGTAGGTGGACTGTTTACAAAAAAAACAAAAAAAAAAAAACACCACTACGTTGCAGTAATTATGTAACAACTTTACTGTCCGAGTGATAAACAAAGCTTCTGAAACTTTTTTTTTTTATATACTTTCCCCTCGTTAGCCTCTCACCAGGTCCCTGTCTACTTCCAGTGATAAAAAAATGCTCCTGATATTCCAAGCCACCTTCACTACCCTCAGAGCACTTAACCTATGTCCATACAGTGAAATGATAATAGTCACCCACTCCCCAAAAAATCAGGTTATTATAGGTTTCTATTTATAACCCTTTAATGCCTACCATGTCAAAAGAGAGTCAATTTGGTATAGCCTTCTCATCAAGTATAAAGTGGAACTAAGCAAATGTACAGGTCAAGCCGTAC